CTGAAATCCGTTAACTTTCATTTCAACTGAAGGTTATTCAAACTTCCTTAATAAGAGTAATAGTAATATGTAACATATTACTAGATAAATTCACGTCATTGCAATCCTCGTGAGGTATTTACGTTCAGAAAAAGCACATTTACAGGAATTCTTACAATGATAATTGCTGTATTCTTAACAATGTTTTATTCCATAATTGTGGAATTTTCGTCATTTTCTTCTGCCAATTACTTACTTCCGGTGTAAAATTCTTAAGTCAGTTAATCGCTAGTAATATAGCCTCTGAAGGCTAGATTGTTCCATCCAAGACATGCACTAATAACCTGTCGTACTTGTTCTCCGTTTTTTTGGGTTAACGCCATCGTGGCAGGTTGAAACCTGTTTGAAAATAGACGTGAGTACAAATATTGTGATTCAGAGATACATTTTGATGGAGAGAAGATGTATGGCAATATTATCAGTTAACGAGACTTTATTTCATGTTATAGAGTGTTACATTGTATAACACAGATTATACAAAGCAAAATACTAGGATTCATATAGAACTGTGTTATTCACACATAGAGGTGATAAAACAATTCTAAATCGATAAAATTCAGCTTGTGAAGCCAGTGTCAGATTATCTCATACAGAAGTAAATAGAATTACCGGGTATATATTAGGTCTGAATTAATAATATATGGGACATCTGCTGACGTCAAGTGTCTGACTGCTGCATATTAATTAAACAGTCTCATCATTTATATTACTCTGTTTCCCGTTTTAGAATAATTTTACTTGAGAAAGACAAACACAATGACAGTGTTTCCAGTACAACTTATTCCACACAATCGCATCAACACACTTAACTTCCGGACTTTGTTTATATTATTCCATTATTCCTTATCATTCAGTTTTATTTGTAGTAACATTTTCAGTATCCCTGGTATTGTCGTTGACCATTTCTATTCCATTTATTGGGTGTAGATTCAATGAACATAGATCCAGTGTTCCGTCTTTCCCTCCATCAACTTATAATACATTTTAAAATTATAACTTTGTCGCAACCTGTTGTGTAAGTGTGTGTTGATGCATGCATTTCTCTTCATCTTTGTGGGGTTAGTCATTCTACAATTAGCTAAATTTCTATGTCATAATAACCCTACTCAATCCGATCTACTGATTTGGCCAAGATAGACGACTGGAACGCTGGAAGGAACACTTTCAGGAGCACTTCAGTCGGCCTACAGCCACACTCAACCTGCCAAACATCCAACACCTCCCTGAATGAGACATAGACACAGGTCCTCCATCCCTAACTGAGGTTACGGAAGCTGTCACCAATCTGAAACAAGGCAAAGCAGCGGGACCTGATGGAATGGCTCCAGAGGTATTTAAGTACGGTGGAGACAGTTCACTGTCTGCATTAACCGAAGTACTAGGCAACATCTGGGAATCAGAGGAAGTTCTATCGGGTTGGTGTAAGTCACTGATTATCCCCATATACAAGAAGGGAGACAAGTCTTCCTGTAGTAATCACAGAGAGATTAGCTTGACTAATATAGTATCTAAAGTCCTAGACTCAATAATGATGCGTAGACTAAGTGGTGCTCGGAAGGCACAAACACGAGAGAGTCAGACAGGCTTTAAACCAGGAGGAGGGTGTATTGATCATATCTTCACCCTTCGACAGATTCTGGAACATAAGCATTGCTACCGGCCTCTAACAAGCATTACATTTCTTGACCTTAAGGCGGCATTCGATCCTGCCGACCGAGAGGTACTCTGACGATGCTTGGCTGTAAAGGGAATGCCGAGAAAATATATTGCACTGATTAAGGCACTCACTCTACTCGAACTCATGCAGCCAGCCAGATGAGGGCTTACGGCGAGCTGTCATCTGAAATGGTGACGACTAGTGGCGTCCGTCAAGGATGCCCATTATCCCCTTTTCTATTCAAATTCATCATAGATGTGTTAATGGACTTAACCCTGAGTGACTTCAGCGACTCAGGGATTGACTTGCTACCAGGAAATAATTTCGTTGACTTAGAATATGCAGACGATATAGTCATTCTACGCGAGGACGCTGACAAAATGTAGAGTCTTCTGAACACCCTGAGCCGCAATCTACGAATGTTTGGCATGCGATTCGCTCCCGCCAAATGCAAGATGATGTTAAAGGACTGGACTACATCAACGCCTAGTTTAAAAATAGGAAGTGAAGTGGTAGAGCACGTTGACCGCTTCACTTATTTGGGAAGTACCATCAGCCCCAACAGGTTGATCTCTGACGAAATCCCAGCACGAATACAGGGGTCTCGTTTCGCATTTGCCAGTTTACGCCGACTCTGGCGTAGACGAGATGTTCGACTATCGACCAAAGGGCGAGTGCACTGCTCATCAGTCCGCTCCGTCCTCCTTTATGGTTGTGAGAAAACCTGGCCGCTGAAAGTGGAAGACATGAAAAGACTAGCTGTCTTTGATCATAGGTGCCTGCGCTCTATTTCCCGTGTGAAGTGGCATAATGAGGTGAGCAACATTGAGGTTAGGCGTAGAGTTCTAGGTAAGGAGGGGAAACCTTTCGGTGAGGCTGTGAAATTACATCGACTGAGATGGTTAGGACATGTGTTACGTATGCACTGATTAAGGCACTCTACTCGTACGCATGCAGCCAGATGAGGGCTTACGGTGAGTTGTCATCTGAAATGATGACGACTAGTGGTGTCCATCAAGGAAGCACCAATGCTTTTCCTGTCTGTTTCATTTCGTTATTTAGGTTTTCCAATGTATTACTTAGAGTTTTCGCATGATTTGTGGGACACTGAACTCAGCCTGTCATTACAGATAACGGGCGATATCACTCAAAGTTTAAGTATCTATTAGAGTGTATTGGTCTTTTATAAACACTAATCAATAATTTGAATTCTCCTTATATTTGTGTCTTTCCAGTCTAACAAAATTCTACTATTAACGCAGTGAAAGTATCATTTACTTATTTCCACTGTAACCTTGAGGTGGGATTAACTGGTTCAAAAGCCTTATTCTCACAACTATGTATAAAGATATCACTAACATCCCCAATCGTAGTAGGTAATGAATATCTTATATGGGAAATCACAACGTGAAACTCGCGCAATCCTTCGAAACGAAGACGGGAGTAAGACAAGCTGGCTGGCTACTATCTCCAATGATTCCCCTAATCGCGGTAGACTGGGTAATGCAACAGACAACGGTGGGCAGCTAAGAAAGAGGCATAAAATGGACCCACACAAAAAACTTGAGGGATCTGGACTTCGCCGATGATGTGTCTGGTTTCCCACAAACTGGAAAATATTCATTTGAAAAGCAGCAAGTTGGCGACAGAAGAAGCATCCAGAGAAGATACGACTTCAGGTGAACATAGAGAAAACAGAGGTGATGAAGATTCATGGCCAACACCAATATCAACAACCACAACAGATAACAACCAGGATAAATGGGAGGAATCTAAAAGAAGCCACCTCTTTTACCTTTCTACCAGGAGGGCGGAACCGATGAGGATATCAAAATGGGAGTAGGAAAGCAAGACAAGCTTTTATTACTCTTAAGTTTGTGTGGCGATCAGCAGCACTCATCATGAAAATTTATATCTGGATTTTCAACTCCAGTGTGAAGTCAGTGATACTATACGGATCAGAGACTTGACGTGTCATGAAGAACACTGCGAACAAACTACAGACCATCAACCGTTGTCTTCGCTAAACACCTAAGATCAGTTGGCCGACCAGAAAAGATCAGAAACAGGGAGGGATCTCTGGGAGCAAACCAACTCAGCTAGAAGCAATTGTGCAACAAATGTGCATGAAAAAATAGAGGTGGACTGGCCATACTCTGAGGAAACAAACCATCATGTGATACCATTACACAAGCCCTCGAGTGGAACCCGAAAGGAAGCGGCTAGTTGGTCGCCAGTTTAAGGGTGACATTGAGGGGATCATGTGGAAAGGAGATGAAAACAAATGGACTCAGGTCAAAACGTAGGCAGAGAACCGAACGGAATGGAAACTTGCGTCTGAAGCCCTATGTTTTTCCAGGAATTAAAGGAAACAATAATAATATTTATAGGAACTCAGTCACCGTAACATATGTACTAACACACAGGCATGAAAACGAATGGAACACAGCTACAGTTCTAAGCAGTTATATAGGCAGCTGGGGAGAGAGTTTGATCACCAAATCTTTGTTCGTCGAATCTACATCTGACACTCGCGATGGGAATACCTCAGCACTAGTACCAAAGATATGGAAAATATTAATATCAATTAAATCAAAAGATAAGTAGCAATGGAATTTATATAAAAAAACATTCGAAAGTTATTTGACAATATTGATGTCATTATTATTCCTCACTTATCGAAATTGAATGCATGGGCCTTCAAAAGCAAGTCTCGATTTCAGCCTGTTCACCAGCTCCACAACTACCTATAACTATCCATCTACTTCTCATACAATCTTTTTTATATCTTCCTATGGACGCTCAACTCGTAATTTTACATTCAAGATCTACTTGAGGACTTGGAGTACGGTACTATTCAATGGTCTCGCTATAGAGTGTTCAATCCATCTTCTTTTACTTTACACATATTTGTTGGCCAATAGATTGTTTGTTGGCTTGTTGTTAGAGTTCCTTGTTGATAAACTCTCTTCGACCATAAAACTATTTATGATGAAATCATACTGAACAACATAGTATTGAAATTCTAATTATCAACTGGTTTGACAGTATTTTCTCAAAATAAATTGAAACCCATTTTTAGCTAATCAGCTGAAACTTGCTAAATTTCTATTGGTTGATAATCACCAACCAATAAGAATTCGCTAAAAACCGATTTGTTTCAAAAATATTTATATTTATGTACAAATTACTGTTCATATTCTTGAGAATTAAGTTTTTCAGTTGATCTAAAGTTCCTCACAAATCAAATCATTTATGAATGATATGAATTTATGAATAAACAGATATTTAAATTATAATCAAAATGCATGCTTCATCAGTGATTGTTGAAAATATGCCAATGATGCCAATGACACCGCAAATTGTCATTGAAATTCCCGCTAACACCCCGCCTGAATCAAATTATAATAGTAATGTAAATTTAAATACAAATTTAATAAATAGTTTATTTATTCAATCACATAATAATAATAATCATAATAACGGATGGTTATCAGGTGCATCAAGTCCTGGTTCATGTTATCAAAATTTATTGTCGCCAACAAATTATTGGTCAAAAAATCATTATCTTACATCAACTAGTGATAGTTTGTTTAGTCATGGAAATCTCAGGGATGATGACTGCCGGACAGAAAGACAAACTCCCCTAGACAGTCAATCAATTTATTCACAAATGAGTAGAACACCTCCACCAATGGTGTTATTGTCACCAACCTCTTCAGTATCATCACAATGTTTAAATCAAAATCGTAATCCCTACTGCTGTATGATAAATGGCCAAATGAAAAATCCCTGTTTACCTGAAGGTACAACAGGAAGTTTCCAACGTTCAAATTCAATTTCATTAGCAACAGCACATGTTAACGGAAATAAATTCCACTATCCTGATAGTAATATAGAGATGTACTCCGGTCAACCGTCTGACAGTCATGCATCACATCCCTTTAGATCTTGTACACCTTCATCTATGATCATGAATATGAAACATCAGTCGAATCGATCCCTAAGTCCATATTCCTGTTCTAATTATCCACAAAATCCTAATTTATCCAGACAATGTATACCATGTTTATCCGCTGACAGTCATTGTAGTGTTGGTTTAGAGCAGACTGTCGGCTTTCATCCAACAATTCCTACAAAAATTAAGCAATATAGAACAAGACGAGCTTCATCACCGTTGTCTTATAAAAGTTCAAATGCATCCTCTCAGTTATTATGTAGTAATAATAATAATAATAACAACTCATCTACTATGAGGATATCTGCCTGCTTAACAAAATCAGGTTGTATGCATAATTTTCAACGTTGCTCAGTCCCAAATAAACAACAGTCTTCAATGCAACGTTCCAATTCCTTGCCTGAATTATTAATCACAAAAACAAAAACAATTGATGCAATAAAAAGACGTAAAACGGATAGATACAAAGATATCTGGTATAAGTGTATCCCAGAAATGAAATCATGTAATTTATTTCCAACTCCGCTAGCCTGTAGTCGTAATTCATTCTACCCGCTAGAGTTACCATGTCAACAGCAACAACACCAACAGCAAGCATATTGTCTATCATCTGCTATGAATCATCGTCGGCATACAGAAGGTTGTAGTTTAAAACCGAATAGATCATTGTTATTACTACATCAGTCAAGTCGTCGATCGAATTCAGTTTGTTCACAAAATCACTGTCCTGCAAATACCATTGCTGGTAATACTACTAATCGAAACATTATCAGTAGTATGCGAAATATGAATTGTAATAATGTTATAGTAATAATAATAGTAACATGAATAATGGCCTGTTTGTTTCACAACATTCATTTTTAAGATTATCAAATCAAAAGATTAATGACTGCAATTTACATGCTCGATCGGCTGTATCAATGATGCTCAACTCCAAGTTAGATGAGGGTGGCATTAGTGGCAATAATAATAATAACGCTAATACCAAAACTCCTATTTATAAAAATCATACATTATTGGACAAAACTCCTTCACAGATCTGTAATAAGCAAACTGTTAATCCTGTTGATCTAGACTCAGCAAAACTTGATGACTATCAAAGTATTACTGAATTACCAGTTAAAACTGGTGATTCATTTACACGTTGTCTTGTTCCCTGATTGTTCTTCTTGTCTGTATGCAATTGGTTGTTGGGATTGCATCAAGCTGTTTGGGATTATTTTTAACATGGAAAGTACCAGAGCTGGAGTTTATGGAATGTGCATATATGTCAGGAATACCGGTAAGTCAGATTTGGTGAACTATAGGTTTATGATTTCTATATTTCGCTGAGGTATTCTTATACATATTTTTTAACCCTTTTCTTAAGCTCATATTATATATATCGAAATTGAACAGTGTTGTTCTGTAGGAAATCTACAAAATCCCATAATAGTCTGATGACTGTATTAGTTGTCTTCAGTTAACCAAACACTTGAGATTTAGGTAACTGATGAGCGCTACATAAATAGTCTTCACATCTAAGAATTAAATAATGTCATATATCTAGGTCTTCATTTAGTGCAGACGGATTCATTACATTCCTTTAGGAGCTCAAACAGCTCACTGGTAACGTCTATGGCTGCAGTGCTGAGCAACTCGATTCGAATAACAGGAAGGATATGGGTCCATTTCATATTGCCGTGTGTTTTGCTGACAATCCAGCCGCAAAACTTCCTGTCGATTGTAATCAACTGTTTTTGTGCCAATTTTACTGTTTGCAAACTTTATTATTGAGGCAAATTTATGATGACTGATAGTTTTTCAGACAACTTTCATTACGTTGATAATCAAAGTTACATCTCCATCCGTTAATCTGTCTACCTATCGATTTTAGTTGGTTTATACATAAAACACATATTCCTATTCCTGAAACCTCTCACCCAGTTTCTGTCAACAAGCGCGTTTACATCATTAGCAAATATCCGGTCGACGGAAACACTTAAAGCCAAAATACTTGGGGGGGGACGACTGCTTCTGCGACTATTGTAATAAACTTTGTGTGACACGAATGTAGCCTACAGTTTTCATAACATTGTCATTCGAATTTTTTTCTTTCCTTCATGTTCCCCAGTGGAATATAGGGCTTCAAGCTAGTGACTTCAAGTTTCTGTAGCAGTATTTATTTTACAGGATGAGGTTGCTAGCCTCATGCCCAACCTTTTCTCTTTACTAGGATTATTCTGGCTAGCGAGGAAAAGGAATGCGTCTGTGGCCAGGGATCGAACTCCGGACCATGTGCATAGTCGGCGAGCGTCCTAACCGCTATGCCACCGACGCTGAAAACTATTTCGGATGGATTCTAGGCTAATCATTGAAAAAAGAACTTCTGAATAGCATCAGACTAGTAAGAAACTGTTAAATAAAAATTCGCAAGTTTTGTGGAATTTTAATTAGGTTTAAAAAGTACTACTATATTCAAAGTAATACTAAACATTTTTTTATTGGATACATGCAATCTTTTGTGATTCAAACAAATGATGTTACTTTGATTGTACACTAGAAACTAGTGTGATGTGTCTAGTCCTTTCTTTGGAGCAGATTGAATTCTATCAATCAGTTTTCTAATGTAGCAACCATTCTAGGTAGCTCGCTAACCATCACGGTACAAATTGATTTTGTGATATTAGATGGTTGAAAGCAATCGTTAGGAAGCCTTGTACCTTGGTTTCATTCACCTAGGATTCAGTCTGTACCGCAGAAAGGACTTGACACGTCACACTCTAGTTACTAGTGTCCAAAAAAATACCCAACACAGTCCTACCAGAGGCCAGTCGCCAGTGAGTCCGAGTAGCTCAGTGGTAACATCCTTCACTGCAGCAGTAGGTGACGCGGGTTCGAATCTCAGAAGGGACATGAGTTCCCTTAAGGTTGAAGATACGTCTTGTTGACTGGTGAATGACAAACCTAGGTCGAAGGCTTCCTGTGGCCGATTGCCCCCAACCATTTAATATCATAAAATTGATTTTTAAATGGATATATTAGTAACAATGATTGATCCTTTGATAATCAAACGATGACCCTTTTTTTACACATAAATTATCTCTATAAATTGCTTTATTTTAAATCTTACAATGATAAAAACAATAGGTTCATTCGGGACAAATGTGTACACAGCGCACAGAATTCCCATCACATTTTATTGTAGAATATGCTTTCTCTCTACATAGACGATCTTCAGTAATATCATCATGTAACTCAATGTTGTTTGATCTGCAGCACAGGCTAATCTCTTAGCATATTTTTCCTTTGTGTCCGACACATGCGTACCGGTAGTTTGAAAGTAGGTTTAAAAATATGTATGAGTACTCAAGGACATAACTGACTGATTAAAACAACAGGAAATAGAAAAAAAATATATGATGCACGCTATTGGATGAAAGTTCAGGTAGCCCCAGGGATTCAAACAAGCCGCCATTGTTGTACTGATAAATGCTACAAAGTTTTTAACAGATGTTGCTAAAAAAACATATGCATCTCTACTTTAACATATATATATATATATATATATATATATATATATATATATCTGTACAAACGCTTTAATATTTCACAAAAAATAACAACTTATTAACTAACAAAATACTTTTAATTTCCAAAATTTATGAATATTGAAGTTATAAAAAATATATATAAAAAATATATTGACGAAAATTCTCTAAAGTTGAGTAAAGTTTGCAGTCTCTTGCGTAAACCTCTGACATATACACTATTAATTAACTAGTAATTATTTGTCTTAGAACAAGAACAATTCTTTTTCATTTTTAGGGGATTCTGCTTGTGATATCTATATAATAACCATTACAAACATCTGTCTGACAGAAATAAAATGATCCTAAGCAAAATTTCACACTCCATTAAAAAATGCGGTTATTTCATCATCACATTTTTACCTATTACTTCTATTTTTCAAGTTTGCCTATGGATTGATATCATTTAGAGAACCATTAAAAAGCAAGGAGTACTGGACAACTATTTCGTCTGAGCTTGAGACTCATCAATCGTACACATCCGACGACAAGATTCGAATCCAGGACTGAGTGGTCAGCCCATGAATGTTAACACTCACCAATTCGTGATTTTAGCGCAGCCACCAGTCAATGGCATCAGTGGGAAGTATTTTTCCTCCTTATTCCGACTGTAATTGGAAGGTCCTGGTTTAGTAACGCATTAGGTGGGTATTGCTGATGAGTCCTAAACTTAAACGAAACACTTGTCCAGAACTTCCTGGTTTTCAGTGGTTCTCTAATTGATTTAGGTCCATGGTGAAACTTGAAGAAAAAGTCAAATCCCTAGAAATCAACTGTTGAATATGTTTTGCATAATTTTTTCATAATTTGAGACTTTAAGCTATAAGAACACAATATTCAGCGAAGAAGAGACTCTTTTCAACGAATTTATTATAAAACTGTACAGTCGTATACATATATGGTTTCACTAAGAAATTATATCCGGTGAGGGAATTAGGTCAAAGGTGTGAATATATGAAATAATAATAATAGTAGTAGTATGAAATGCGATTAAAATATTTGTGATTATAATCATAGTTTTATGTCAAGTGGCAAAACAAATTAATGTCATATATAGAATAATACATAAGGTGTATAGATTTTGAAAGGGTACATAATTATAGGATTGGTAGATGAATATAAAATGTTACATAACATGATGTGAAATTTGATCAGATGGAATTCAATATTGTTAAAATAAAATATATAAAATTAATAATTTTGGGTTTAAAATGACGCGTGGGTAAAGTGTAAAAGATTCAGAGTGAGAATAGTAATAATAATAATAATAATCGAAGTAATGAGGGAAAGTACATAGAATAACTAAATAAACAAAATAAATAAATGTCTATCCCTCTACGGCCAAGGCAGACGTAGGCATTGTACATACTTCTTTTGTACACAAAGGTCTGGCTGGCCTAAAGTCATGAATGGCAAGGCCTCAGCTGTCTTTAGAAGTCGGTAACGAAGAAAACGCGACCAGCAAGTTAGCATGGATTCTATGTAAGATCTTGAAATCATGGTCAGGGTTGACAGAATGACAGGAGTCGATCAGGTGTTCCAGAATACAGCTTCGAACACACTTTCTTTCACCCTTGTAAAACCATGCAGCTGGAATATGTTCTCGTATACGTGTGGATAGTGTCCTCTGACTACGGCCAATATACCTTGCTCCACAAAAGCAGGTGAACTGGTAGATGCACATGGAAGCGGCCAGATGACGCATTTTATCTTTTACAGAGGTAAAGAGCAAATCGCGGCTAGTAAACGTCATATGTAATTTTGCTGCAAAGAACGTCTTACTGACTGATATAGAGAGACGATTTTTGAGCATATCTGAAGCTTGATCACCTTTGATTCCAAGTACATGAATAAGGTTTTCTTTCGAACTGAGTCGGTGACCAGTTTAGACTGCTTATCTTTTATATTGCTGTCAATAAATCGGTTAGGGTAACCAATTTCTGTGAGTGTGGCTTTTAAGAAGTCAAGTTCTGAGTCAACGCAATCAGAACTACAAATTTTCCTTGTCCTAAAGGAGAGCCAGTGAATTAGGTTACTTTTCCTAGAAACAGGCACTTTTAGCTTTAGCAAGCATCTTACGTTGCTGTGAGCTATTATTATATTCGTATTCTTGAAGTACCTTAACCTTCAGGGGAATGTTGTTGATACGGTACTTAGCAAGTGATATGCTTATATATTCTTATTTCATTACTCTGCATTCCGACCAAGTAGAGCATAGCACTTGATGCTTAAGCTTTGAAATTTCAATAGGGATAGCTTGGTTTCTAATGAGTTAAGGTCTTTAACCTCACGGGCTGTATTCCCTGTTTACGAGCTTACAATTAACTGGGTGAAGGTTTACGAGTGCGTTGGCTGGGAATCGAACCTCGATCACGTTTGCAGTCGGGAGGCATCCGACCACTGAATCACCGACGCACGTGTATGCGTTCCAGTATCGCAATATTAATATAAGCTGTCTAGTGCAAGAAGAAATGTTTTCTTGCGTGACTGTATTTCTGTATCCTCAAATAAAATAATAATCGATTATATTTCATCAGAAACAGTATTGGGTAAAGTTCAACAATAGCGTCCCAGAAGTGCGAACGCAAGAGAGACCTTCAACCGACCAATCATATTAATGACGAATATTTGCTCAAAACGTGATGTATATGACAAGAAAATGCTTGAAAACGCATTAAACAGGTTATCTTTCTCTAACATGGCTTAAAAAAAA